AAAAAAAACTGCCTTCAACCGATCGAAAGACTTTCACAAAGTGTCGCACACCTGATGCGAACGACGTGAAAAAAAACTTGTGCACTGCACTCCTCGTTCTCTGCATGATCGTTTGTCCATCTCGTTTCGGTTCACATTCAACATCCGAAAGCATACGAATCAATTGTTCTCGAAAATTATCGAATCTATGTTTGTATCTGTGTGCGCGTATAGCTGCTTGTGTGTCTCGTGTGTCTATGTGTATATAAGAGAGAAGACGTAAGAGATCACGTTATTAAGATTGCTTTATATTCTTTAGGCTCTTTCATTTCTAACAAACGCCAGCCTCGAGCGCGATTCGACTTGTATGTTTGTGATCGATCAATGAAAGATTTAGACTAGCTGTTCAGGAGTTTCTCTGTTGCCTGACACTCGCTGTTCGTGGCGTGAATCCAGATCTGGCGTGCTTCATCATGTGCACTTGAAGATACGACTTGTAGGTGGCTCGATAGGGACAGAACGTGCATTGGTGCGTCGGTTGTTTACCGCATTCGTTTATCATGTGTCGCCGGAGGTTCTTCATTTGATGATAACGGCGATCGCAATTGTCGCACGCGAATCGCCCTTGGCCACGCGACCTTCTTCGATCCTTGGGCATTCGACTCACGTAGTACCTCATTTTTGCGTAATCTGCAACCAGGAAGAAATCATTCGGTTAATATTCTACGTTCTACAGATCGCGATCAGGTCGTTCCTTCGATCGTCGTCGATCGGATTATTTGCCACAACTAATGCCCTTTGATTTTATCAACGTGAGTATATGTATACACGTACATATATACCTCTAAGCGTACGGACAAGCCGTGCTTGCGAGAGAAATGAAAGCATAACAAAGGAAAGAAGTAATCTTCTAGCTTGTCCGTGAAATGTGAAACAAACGAGACACGTTTTCGTTACATGCAGATGATGTTGTATGCACGTACACGGATTGGACGAATCGACATGGTCCTGGAACGAAGATTTTTAATTAAAAAA